ACCCCCGTGTGCTGGGCACCGCGGGGGCACTCCTGGCACACGCAGGGTCCCCGGGCACACACAGAGCCTGGCACACACAGTGCCCAAGTGCCCGCTGGTGCTGGTCCCCCCTGCGGTGGGTGATGCCTGCGCCGTCGCTAAGGAGCACGTGTAACTGGATCTGGGTTATTTTGGGCTGCTGTCAGGGCTGGGTGCTCAGCACCTCCCACACGCACACACCAGCTGCTGCTATTTCAGAGCTGCTGGGCCCCCTCCTCTCCTTCTCCCCCTCCTCAGGCCTGGGGTGGGCAGCTGGGGCTTTTGCCTGAGGAAGAACCTGGTGAGGCTGGGGGGGCATGATCAGCAGTCTGACCCCACAAGCCCTGTTGTCCCCTGCCAGTGCTCCAAGCTCTGGGGATGATATGCACAGGGAGCTGGACCCCTGGGCTCCCACCACTCATCCCCACTACCAGCCTCATGCTGGGAGAGTGCTGGGCAACCCCTTGCCCCCCCAGACCCTTCCACACCCTCAGTCTCTCCAGCAAAGGGTGGCAATGCCTCCCAGCCCCAGTGCCCAGCTACCCGTGCCTGTGTCTGCTTGGCATGAGCCTGCCCAGCTCAGGAGGTGCCTGGGGACCTGGAGGAGCCCCGTGGGCCAGGCACAGCACGGAGGGGCCAGTGAGCTGTTGGGAGGGCACCACTGGGCTCACAGCCCCCAGGCTGACTGCCACAGGGTTTGACTTGCACTTTCCCAGGTGGACTTTATCCTGCACAACAACCGTGCCAAAGTTTGGGCTGTGCTTGAGCAGGGGGGTGTCCTGGAGGGGACACCCAGCATGGACAAGGCGAGCAGGGCACCATGCACCTCCTGCAGCTGCAGGGCAGGGATGGGGCACTGCCACCCCCCAGCCTCCGGGGGGGCAGCTGGCCTGGCCTGGAGCCCAGGGTATGGGGCAACAGTGCTGCCAGGCAGGGAGGACTTTGAGCCCTGCACGTTGTCCCGGGCCAGGGAGGTGAGAAGCAGCAGCAGCTGGGCAAGCAGGATGAAGCAGGCCAGTTG